CGGAGCCGGCCTTCATTAGCCCTTTGCCGCCGGGGCCAGCGTCTCCCACTCCTGTCCCACGTCAGTCCCAGGCCCCAGATGGTGGCTCCCGCTGGCCACTGAGGGCAATGGGTCCAGCCAGGGTAGTACCTTCCTGAGGCCCTGAGGAGTCAGGGAGGCCTCTATTGGTCGGTAAGAAAAGAAAAGAAAAAGAAAAAGAAAGCAGAAAGCAGGAAGAGGGAGTAGGAAGTACTGGGAAATGTAATTTTTAGATGAGGGAGAGTTTCTCCAAGGAGGCAACATCTGTAAAGACCTGCTGGAGTTGAGGGCAGGTGCCATTCATCTTCCAGCCTTTGGGCAGGACTGCCCACCTCTCTCCAAGGACCTTCTCCTGCCCTCACGTGGGTCCTCTGGTCCAGAATAGACTTGTGAAGTCATTGACAACAATCCTCAAACACTGCACTCCCCCAAGACTGCATAATAAACTCATTCATACTAAGGTATTAGCAGTTCTTCATGGAGAACTCCTGGGTGGGCAGCCAAGCTCTGAAAAGCCCCATGAGGGAATGCCTTATCTCAGGAAGGAGCCCTGGGATGGGAACCACCAGTTTTGTAGAGGCGAGGTCTCACTATGTTGCCCGGACTGGTCTCTTACTTCTGGGCTCAAGCCTCAGAAAGTCATCTTTGCCCAAATGTACGATTAATTTGGGGGTAGGCTTTGCCACCACTATCTCACTGGTTCTTCCCTATACCACTGTGGGATAGGGCTGTCTCTTTCCCCATCCTTGAAATGAGGAAACAGGTCTGAAAATCCAGGCAACTCCATCTTCTCCCATCAACCCTGAAGCCCTAGCACAAGGCTGGGCATCCAGCCAGCCCCCGGGAAGTTTGGTTGGACTGGATGATTGAACTAGGTCATGTTTCTAAGTCCTAACCCCCCAGGAACATCCCATTCATTCGGTCTGCAAATATACTTTTTGTATACCTACTATGTGCCAGGTACTGTTTTAGGCATTAGGGATAAAGGTGTGAATAAAACAAAGATCCTTGTCCTAGTGGACTTTACATCCTAGTAGCAGAGAAGACAGATGAATAAAGTATATGGTATGTTAGGTAAAAGTGTTAAGAAAAATAAAGCAGGATGTCGGGCATGGTGGCTCACTCCTGTAATCCCAGCATTTTGGGAGGCCGAGGTGGGTGGATCACCTGAGGTCACGAGTTCGAGACCAGCCTGGCCAACATGGTGAAACCCCATCTCTACTAAAAATACAAAAATTAGCCAGGTGTGGTGGCAGGTGCCTGTAATCCCACCCAGCTATTCGGGACGCTGAGGCAGGAGAATTGCTTGAACTCAGGAGGAGGAGGTTGCAGGGAGCCAAGATCATGCCACTGCACTCCAGCCTGGCAACAGAGCAAGACTCAGTCTCAAAAAAAAAAAAAGAAAAGAAAAAGAAAAAGAAAGCAGAAAGCAGGAAGAGGGAGTAGGAAGTACTGGGAAATGTAATTTTTAGATGAGGGAGAGTTTCTCCAAGGAGGCAACATCTGTAAAGACCTGCTGGAGTTGAGGGCAGGTGCCATTCATCTTCCAGCCTTTGGGCAGGACTGCCCACCTCTCTCCAAGGACCTTCTCCTGCCCTCACGTGGGTCCTCTGGTCCAGAATAGACTTGTGAAGTCATTGACAACAATCCTCAAACACTGCACTCCCCCAAGACTGCATAATAAACTCATTCATACTAAGGTATTAGCAGTTCTTCATGGAGAACTCCTGGGTGGGCAGCCAAGCTCTGAAAAGCCCCATGAGGGAATGCCTTATCTCAGGAAGGAGCCCTGGGATGGGAACCACCCCTCCTCCCTGCCTCTTTCCCCCACAGAGATTGAGTCTCACATTATAAAGCAAGAAGATATACTTAATGGCAAAGAGAATGAGATTAAAGAGTTGCAGCAAGTTATCAGCCAGCAGAAACAGATCTTCAGGTGAGGGGTCTGGGCCTGGCTGGGGGTGTTGATGACACTGGGGAGCCAGACCTCTGGCCCCTACATACCCTGGGCTGTCTACAGTCCACCACCAGCGGGCTCCATTGCAGGAATCACATGTCTGACTTCCGGATCCAGAAGCAGCAGGAGAGCTACATGGCCCAGGTGCTGGACCAGAAGCATAAGAAAGCCTCAGGGACGCGTCAGGCCCACAGCCACCAGCATCCCAGGGAAAAATAAAATGGCCGCCGCTTTCCTGTTCTCTGGCTGTAATCCCCAGCCTCTGCCTTCTCTGCTCTGGGAGTCCCCAGCCTCTAGGCCCTGCTACTTCCCTCCCTTTTGGGTAGTGGTAGCGGTCCACAAGGTGGGGGCTTGTAGCCTACGGGAGGAGCTGGGTCTTTGTTGTCTGGTAGGCACCACTGCTTCCTTTGGGTATTTAATCCCTTCCTATATAAACAGCCCTGGTTACCCAGTAACATCCCACCCCACTCCCAGTGTCCTGGTAAATTTAACTCTCCCAACTTGACTACAGGGCTGGAAGCCCTGACCAGAAACTTCAGAGACAGTGGGTTCCAGAACCACAAGGAATTTGGGAAGTCAGTTTCTATCACATGACAATAATGTTATACCTGCAAATTGCATTTGCACTTGCTGACCCTCCCCCAAACAAATAGGAGCTTCACAAATGGGAGGAAGAGAAAAGACAATGCTGTGTGTGGTTTTAAGGTGGAGAAACAATCTGGGAAGGGACCTAGACTTGCACAAGTTGCACAGGTAGGGCTGGATGGGATGGTCTAGCAACATTCTTTCAGAAGCCATCACTGAGTGTCCCCTAGATGATCATGGGGACACACCCAGGCAGAGGACCCACTTCAGGGGTCAGGTTAGCCCAGTGTAGCCTGTCCTGGGTCAGTTTGAGGCCAAGTACACAGGCGGGGTCAGTGCTCTTGCTCCAGGGCCAGCTGGGGCCTGAGTCATAGCAGGACCTTGAAGCCAGAAGTTTAAGGGCAAGTGGTGCCCACAGTTGTAAGACAATGACAGGTGGTGGCTGCCTCCCCACCAGTGCCTGTCCCCAGGGCAGGTCCTAAGGCTGTGGGGGCTGAAATTAGGGCCTTGTGAGTGCCTGGGGGAGCACAGGGCGGTTCTGGCTTCAGGGGCCTTTGGAGCTGGGACCACAAGCTACTTCGAAGCTTCCCATGGGACCCCACATCGGTATCCAGGGCCTGTTCTAGGTGCTGAGGCAGATTGTGAAAGCTAGAGCTGTCCACTCCAGCCCCTTCCGATAGGTCCCACTGAGGGCAATGGGTCCAGCCAGGGTAGTACCTTCCTGAGGCCCTGAGGAGTCAGGGAGGCCTCTATTGGTCGGTACTCCTTACTCTACTGAAGGTTGGGGATCGGGGAGAGTGTAACTGGGACCAAGGCAGGTGGTGTGTGCACCCTTAGGAGCTCTAGCTGAGGCCAGCAATGGCAATGGGGGTCCCCTGCAGTGATGTTAAGACACCCGGGGCTGAGGGGAAGATGAAATTGCTGACTCTACCAGAGTCTCCTGGTCTGAAGGTCTGGCTCACAGCCTGAACCGCACACAGCAGTGCCTGACTTCAGGCAGATCCCTGCTGGGCTTCAGTTTCCTCACCTGTGATGGGTGCAGCTGGGCCTAACTCCTGGCTCCAAGGCTTCAAAAGTTGGGCCTGCCATTACCTCACCTGCCTGTCCGCCAAAACTTGGAGCCCACCCCAGGTACTCCGGCTTGTGCCTGAGAAGGGGGTTAGTTGGGCATGGGGGCTGGACAGGGAAGGGTGCAGGGCCCAGGTCTCTTCTGCTGCAGGCGCCGCTGGCTCAGGAGTGGACGCGGCCGCTTTAAGGCGCGGTGACCCCACGGCATCCTCGGGCGGGGCGGGGACAGTGCCGGCGCCACCAGCGGAGGCGAATGCGAGGGACATAGTGCGCGGCGTCCGGCCCCACCATGCTGACAGCGCTCGCCCCGCCAGCCTTGCCTGGGATCCCGAGACAGCTGCCCACGGCCCCCGCGCGGCGCCAGGACTCCTCCGGTTCGTCAGGCTCTTACTACACGGCTCCGGGTTCTCCGGAGCCCCCGGACGTTGGGCCGGACGCAGAAGGCCCAGCGAATTGGCCCTGGGTGGCCCCTGGGCGGGGGGCGGGTGCCCAGCCTCGCCTGTCCGTCAGCGCCCAGAATAGCCGCCAGCGGCACGGGCCCGGCTCGGGTTTCTCGCGAGGCCCGGGCTCCGGCCCACGGCCACCCCAGCCCCAGCTGCGCACGCTGCCGTCGGGGGAGATGGAAGTCATCTTCGGCGTCGGCCCCTTGTTCGGCTGCTCCGGCGCAGAGGATCGCGAGGCACAAGAGCTCACGGAGCCGGCCTTCATTAGCCCTTTGCCGCCGGGGCCAGCGTCTCCCACTCCTGTCCCACGTCAGTCCCAGGCCCCAGATGGTGGCTCCCGCTGGGCCACCTACCTAGAGCTGCGGCCCCGTGGGCCAACTCCTGCAGCCCCAGCGCAGTTCGAGTGTGTGGAAGTGGCTCTGGAGGAGCGCGCCGCACCCGCCAGGCCCCGGACGGTGCCCAAGCGTCAGATCGAGCTGCGCCCCCGGCCCCAGAGTCCCCCGCGGGCGGCCGGCGCGCCGCGCCCCCGGCTGCTCCTGCGCACCGGCTCCCTGGACGAGTCGCTGGGCCGCCTGCAGGCCGCCGCGGGCTTCGTGCAGACGGCGCTGGCCAGAAAACTGAGCCCCGAGGCCCCGGCCGCGAGCAGCGCCACCTTCAGGCCCACGGGGCTGTCGGAACCTGCGACCCGGGAAACGTCCCGCAGCACCCGCGTGGTCCTGGAGAAGACTAAGTCTCCGCCACTTCGCGTACAAGATAATTCGGCCCCCGCCAAAGCCCCAAGGCCGTGGCCCAGCCTCCGCGAGCGCGCGATTCGGCGCGACAAGCCTGCGCCCGGAACGGAGCCGCTGGGTCCTGTTAGCTCCAGCATCTTCCTTCAGTCAGAGGAGAAGATCCAGGAGGCGCGGAAGACTCGATTCCCGCAAGAGGCGCCGCATCGAACTGTCCAGAGGGCACGGAGTCCGCCTTTTGAGTGTAGGGTCCCCTCGGAGGTTCCGAGTAGGGCTGTGAGGCCAAGAAACCCGTCCCCGCCGTGGCAGGCTCCAAACGGGGCTGTACGGGGTCCTCGCTGCCCGTTGCCCCAGAACTTGTCCCTGTGGGATCGGACTAGTCGGAGGGTGAGTAGCCCATCGTTCCCTGAAGCCTCCTCCGCGTGGGAAAATCAGAATCTGGCCGTCGAGGAAACTGTCAGCAGGAGAAGCCCTTCCCCTCCGATCCGTTCCCAGTGGAATCAGTGTGTTGCTGGGGAAAGGAGCCCGTCCTTCGAAGCCCCTTCCCAGTGGGAGATTCCACATTCGGCAGTCGGGGATACGGTGGAGCCAGGTAGCAGCCCGTCCCCGCCGGCCTTCTTCCCGTGGGAGGCTCCAGATCGTCCTATTGGAACTTGGGGCGCATCTCCCCAAGAGACGTGGGACCCCATGGGGCCAGGCGCATCGATAGCATTTACTCAGGAAGCTCAGAATGGGTTAACTCAGGAGGAATTGGCACCGCCTACACCGTCCCCACCCGGGACTCCAGAACCAGCAGAGATGCAGAGTCCATCCACGCGGGAGATTCCGGATCTTGCCTTTGGAGGGAGTCAGCCGTCCCCAGAGGTGGCAGCACCCGACAGCCACCTTGTGGGCACCCTGGACGCCGATAAGTGCCCGGAAGTCTTGGGTTCTGGAGAGGCGGCTTCAGGACGTCCGCGCGTGGCCATTCCGCGGCCTCGAGACGTGCGCAAGTTGGTGAAGACCACGTACGCGCCAGGCTTCCCGGCAGGAGCCCCAGGCTCAAGGCTGCCTGCGCCTCCTGCCGACCCCTGCGGGGAGGAGGGCGGCGAATCCAAGACGCAAGAGCCGCCGGCACTGGGGCCCCCGGTCCCGGCTCACTACACTTCCGTTTTCATCAAGGATTTTCTACCGGTCGTGCCGCACCCCTACGAGCCTCCAGAACCGTCCTTCGACACGGTCCCCCAGGACGCCTCACAGCCCAACGGGGTCATGCGGCGGAGGGCAGAGAACAGCACGGCGAAGCCCTTCAAGCGCACAGAGATCCGCCTGCCTGGGGTCCTGGCCTTGGGTCGCCGGCCCGAGGTAACCTCGGGAGTGCGAGCGCGCGGCCCTGGAGGAAAGAACAGGGATGCAGAGGCCCAGCGCCTTGTCCCCGACGGCAAGGGTCGGACCAGCCCTCTAGGCGGCGCCCGCAGCTCATCCCAGCGATCCCCCGTAGGGCCAGCAGGGGTCCGATCGCCCCGCCCCAGCTCCCCTCAGGTGCACGCCAGCCCGAGCCCTGGGATAGCACCCAAACCGAAGACACCTCCTACGGCCCCCGAGCCTGCGGCTGCCGTCCAGGCGCCACTCCCACGGGAGCCCCTGGCGTCGGCGGGCAGGACGGCCCCCGCCCAGCCCCGTGCTGCCTCGGCGCCTCCCACAGACCGGTCCCCGCAAAGCCCCTCCCAGGGAGTGCGCAAGCCGCCCGGGGCCGCGCCCCGGGGGAAGGTCTTGGTGGACCCCGAGAGCGGCCGCTACTACTTCGTGGAGGCGCCGCGTCAGCCTCGGCTGCGGGTGCTCTTCGACCCCGAGAGTGGGCAGTACCTGGAGGTGCTGCTGCCGCCCTCGTCCCCTGGGCCGCCCCACCGCGTCTACACCCCTCTGGCCCTGGGCCTCGGCCTCTACCCGCCTGCCTATGGGCCTATACCCAGCCTCTCCCTGCCACCGTCCCCAGGCCCGCAGGCTCTCGGCAACCCCCAGCTACCCTGGGTCTCTGAGGCAGGGCCCCTGGACGGGACCTACTACCTGCCAGTGAGCGGAACCCCCAGCCCTGCACCTCCTCTGCTCTTCTGTGCGCCGCCCTCCAGCTCAGTTCCCACCCAGCCCGGCAAGGGTTCCTTGTTCCCACTGTGAGGCCCCGGGCAGATCCCCATGGAGTTGGAGCCCTTGGATGGCCTGGGAGGTTCTGGCATCCAAGCCCCTACCCTCCTCTCTTTCCGCTGCCTCTATCTTTAACCCATCCCAGCCAGTCGTCGGACAGGAAGTGATCTTCAGAGAATGAATCTGAGCCCCGAGGCTGGCGGAGCTGGCGTCACCCAGGAAGTGGCTGCCTACTTCCTCTCCCAACGAAATTATGTATCCCTTTCCCAGGCATTCCCAGGGCATGGTGTGGTGTGGTGTGTGGGTG